GCCCTGGGGAGGGTAAGCGGGCGGCTGCGGGGCCCCAGCCGAGGTTAAACCGCGGCAAAGGGACATCCAGAACCCCCCGCCCCGTCAGACCCGGGCCAGGCCCGGCCACAGCCCGCCCAGCCCCGCGTACCGGATGAAGAAACGCCAGGCCGTCCAGGTGAGCACGAGTATAATCCCCAGGATCCAGCACTGGGTAATGTAGAACGGAAGAGACAGCGTGAGCGTGTAGGTCGTACTTCACGACGATCAGGAACTCCGTGGCCGTGATGGCAGCCACCAGCCACGCCTGCTGGCCCAGCTTCTTATGGAACTTCCTGCAAAGTAAACACAGACACAATGCCAGTGCTGCAGAACCCAGCATTCCCAACGTCCACAGGAAGGCAGCTGGGGTGAGAATTTCCCTCAGCCCTGCAGGAACCTAAAGTCTGGTTTGGAGTAAACACGTGTACTACGCCTTTACGGGCTGACCGTGTTCGCCTCGGCGCTACTCAACTTCCCTCTCAGAGGCTCTGAAAACACAAGAAAAGTTAACTTCATCACCTCGTCACACAAGGAAGTGTCCTTGCTTCCAGGGTACTGCTAAATCCACGTGGAACAATGATCTGACCAGCTTGAGATCCGCCAAGGTTCTGGGTACAGTAGGAAACTGGAGCTCTGCTCCGCGGCCTCGTCGGCCAACGCCAAGCCACGCTGGCGTAACCACACTTAACCCCTACAGACCCCTACAGAACCCCATTCTCAAACACTCCCTTCCCAAAAAGGTGCTGACTGAGCAGCCACTAACCATCTCCGAGCAGCTTGTCAAAGAAGAGAGCGCAACAACCACCAGGCAAAATCCTGGGAGACCAAGGACGGCGTTTCGCTTCCAGGATAACAACCATGGGGCACATACTGATTAATCCTGAACCCCCGGGGTCTGTCCGGGAGCAGTACCAAACCCCCAGGGTCTGCCTGGGCACAGTAGTGAACCCCCGGGGTCGGCCTGAGAGTCGTACCGAACCCCCGGGGTCTGGCCTGTGAGCACGTGGGCCCGAGCGCCGTGTCTGACACCAACGGGCAAACTCAAACTACAAATCCACCGGGAAGAAGCCCCGCTGCAGCACACAAGTGCGGGTGACTGCTGCCGCAGGCGGGATGAGCGCATCCCGTTCCAAAAAGCGGCCAGCCTAGGCCAGCTCGGGTGAAAGGCCTTCGGAAGCCACCGCGGGGCATCCATCTGGCAGGAGAGATGGAGTGGGCAGGAACCGCCTCCACACACGGACAGCAAACCTCCCCCCGGGAGCTCAAGCTGTTCGGATGGCGAGGTCAGCTCGCTGCTTCTGCTGCTCCGCTCCCTCACCTGCCCTCGCCGCCGACACAAGAA